CACCATTTTCCATGGTCACGGTGATGTCCAAAAAATCTACACTGCTTGTGGATTTGTTAGCAGTTAGCAAAACCTACCACAGCAGCACAACCGACAACGTCAGTGACAACTGAGGGTAGGTTTTTGACTCGTGCCAAAATAAATATTTTAAGATTAATTTACAATAATAGCTTAAATTTAAATGCTTAGAGTAGTGAAATATAAAATAGTTTATTATTTTATTTCTACAGAACCTACCACGGCAGCACCACCTACAACATCAGGGACAACTGAGGGTAGGTACTTGACCCCTGAAAAAAATTATTTTTACTATTCCTTAAATATTTGTCATTATTATCTAATAGATATATGCTTATTGTACATGATAAGTGTTTTATTATATGTTTTAATTTTTATAACTCTACATAACCTACCACAACATCAGTGACAACTGACGATAGGTTTTTGAATCATTCCGAAATAAATATTAAAAAAGTAATTTTCAGTTAGCTAAAATTGAAATGCTAACACGAGTAGTAATTATGATATTCTATTTTTTATATTTCTATAGGACCTACCACAGCAGCACCACCTACAACATTAGTGACAACTGAGGGTAGGTACCTGATTCATAAAAAAAAAATTCTTTTTCTATTTCTTAAATATTCGTTATTATTATCTAATATATATGATGTATATGCTTACTGTACATGATAAGTGTTTTATTATATATTTTTAATTTTATAACTTTACAGAACCTACCACAGCAGCACAACCGACAACGTCAGTGACAACTGAGGGTAGGTTTTTGACTCATTATTTGTTTATGTCTTTTTAAATGTTATCAATAATGACTAAGAGCAAAATATTTCATTTTTCAATTTCATTGTTGAACGATGATTTACTATTTCTACTTCATGATAGGTGGTTTATGATATTTTTAATTTTATAATTCTACAGAGTCTACCACAGCGGCACAACCGACAACATCAGTGACAACAGACGGTAGGTTTTTGACTTATACTAAAATAAATATTTTAAGATTAATTAACAATATTAGCTGAAATTGAAATGCTTAGAGTAGTAATTATGATACAGTTTATTATTTTATTTCTACAGAACCTACCACAGCAGCACAACCGACAACATTAGTGACAACTGAGGGTAGGTGCTTTACTCATACAAAAAAAATAATTCTTTTACTATTTTTTAAATATTCGTCAATATTATCTAATATATATATATATATATATATTTATATATATATATATTTATTTATATATATATATATTTATATATATATGTGTGTGTGTCTGTTTACTGTAAATGATAAATGGTTTTTGATACAATTGTTTTTTAATTTCGTGACTTTGCAGAACCTTCCACAGCGGCACAACCGACAACGTCAGTGACAACTGAGGGTAGGTACCCGACTCATAGAAAAAAAAAATATTTCTATTTCTTAAATATTCGTTATTATTATCTAATATTTAATAATTTCAATTAGTGTTCAATGTGTTCCATATGTGTTTGATCCAATGACCGGGGTAATAATGTGAAGCGCTTAGAGGCTTTGTTAAGGCATTAAGCGCTATATAAGAACTACATATTTCTTTTTTTTTAAATATATATATATGCTTACTGTACATGATAAGTGTTTATTATATATTTTTAATTTTATAACTTTACAGAACCTACCACAGCAGCACAACCGACAACGTCATTGACAACTGAGGGTAGGTTTTTTGACTCATTATTTGTTTATGTCTTTTTTAAGGTTACCAATAGTGACTAAGAGCAAAATATTTCATTTTTCAATTTCATTGTTAAACGATGATTTACTATTTCTACTTCATGATAGGTGGTTTATGATATTTTTAATTTTATAATTCTACAGAGTCTACCACAGCGGCACAACCGACAACATCAGTGACAACAGACGGTATGTTTTTGACTCATACTAAAATAAATATTTTAAGATTAATTAACAATATTAGCTGAAGTTGAAATGCTTAGAGTAGTAATTATGATATAGTTTATTATTTTATTTCTACAGAACCTACCACAGCAGCACAACCGACAACATCAGTGACAACTGAGGGTAGGTACCTGATTCATAAAAAAAAATTCTTTTTCTATTTCTAAAATATTTGTTATTATTATCTAATAGATATATGCTTATTGTACATGATAAGTGTTTTATTATATGTTTTAATTTTTATAACTCTACAGAACCTACCACAACAACACAACTAACAACATCAGTGACAACTGACGATAGGTTTTTGAATCATTCCGAAATAAATATTTCAAAAGTAATTTTCAGTTAGCTAAAATTGAAATACTAACACGAGTAGTAATTATGATATTCTATTTTTTATATTTCTATAGGACCTACCACAGCAGCACTACCGACAAAATCAGTGACAACTGAGGGTAGGTGCTTTACTCATAGAAAAAAATAATTCTTTACTATTTTTTAAATATTCGTCAATATTATCTAATATACATATATATATTTATTTATTTATATATATATATATTTATATATATATATATGCTTACTGTACATGATAAGTGTTTATTATATATTTTTAATTTTATAACTTTACAGAACCTACCACAGCAGCACAACCGACAACGTCATTGACAACTGAGGGTAGGTTTTTGACTCATGCCAAAATAAATATTTTAAGATTAATTTACAATAATAGCTTAAATTTAAATGCTTTTAGTAGTGAAATATAAAATAGTTTATTATTTTATTTCTACAGAACCTACCACAGCAGCACAACCTACAGAACCTACCACAACAACACAACTAACAACATCAGTGACAACTGACGATAGGTTTTTGAATCATTCCGAAATAAATATTTCAAAAGTAATTTTCAGTTAGCTAAAATTGAAATGCTAACACGAGTAGTAATTATGATATTCTATTTTTTATATTTCTATAGGACCTACCACAGCGGCACTACCGACAAAATCAGTGACAACTGAGGGTAGGTGCTTTACTCATAGAAAAAAATAATTCTTTACTATTTTTTAAATATTCGTCAATATTATCTAATATATATATATATATTTATTTATTTATATATATATATATTTATATATATATGTGTGTGTGTCTGTTTACTGTAAATGATAAGTGGTTTTTGATACAATTGTTTTTTAATTTCGTGACTTTGCAGAACCTTCCACAGCGGCACAACCGACAACGTCAGTGACAACTGAGGGTAGGTACCTGACTCATAGAAAAAAAAATATATTTCTATTTCTTAAATATTCGTTATTATTATCTAATATTTAATAATTTCATTTAGTGTTCAGTGTGTTCCATATGTGTTTGATCCAATGACCGGGTTAATAATGTGAAGCGCTTAGAGGCTTTGTTAAGGCATTAAGCGCTATATAAGAACTACATATTTCTTTTTTTTTAAATATATATATATATATATATGCTTACTGTACATGATAAGTGTTTTATTATATATTTTTAATTTTATAACTTTAAAGAACCTACCACAGCAGCACAACCGACAACGTCAGTGACAACTAAGGGTAGGTTTTTGACTCATGCCAAAATAAATATTTTAAGATTAATTTACAATAATAGCTTAAATTTAAATGCTTTTAGTAGTGAAATATAAAATAGTTTATTATTTTATTTCTACAGAACCTACCACGGCAGCACCACCTACAACATCAGTGACAACTGAGGGTAGGTACTTGACCCCTACAAAAAAAAATATTTTTACTATTCCTTAAATATTCGTCATTATTATCTAATATATATATGCTTATTGTACATGATAAGTGTTTTATTATATGTTTTAATTTTTATAACTCTACAGAACCTACCACAACAACACAACTAACAACATCAGTGACAACTGACGATAGGTTTTTGACTCATACCGAAATAAATATTTCAAAAGTAATTTTCAGTTAGCTAAAATTGAAATGCTTACACGAGTAGTAATTATGATATAGTATTTTTTTATATTTTTATAGAGCCTACCACAGCAGCACCACCTACAACATCAGTGACAACTGAGGGTAGGTACCTGACTCATAGAAAAAAAAATTCTATTTCCATTTCTTAAATATTCGTTATTATTATCTAATATTTAATAATTTCATGTAGTGTTCAATGTGTTCCATATGTGTTTGATCCAATGACCGGGGTAATAATGAGAAGCGCTTAGAGGCTTTCTTAAGGCATTAAGCGCTATATAACAACGACATA